ATACTGAACAGAAGCCTTCGTCAACACAACATTGAACTAATATTTTTATTTGGTTTCTATATAAAAGATGTGTATTATCAATTAACTGGAAACGTGATTTTGAAATCCGAATGTGGAAATTCCTTCTTCTTCATATGAGTAAGCAAAGAAGCTGATCATATTGGCGCCAATTACGACGCATGGAGAGACGACAAAGGTGGAATATGGAATACTGAACAAATACAATCATGATCAGAGATTAAATCGGCACTACGAATCAGGTGCATGGATTACATCAACGAACAAACGCAATCTTCGCAAGACACAATCTTGGCAAGACGCCAAAATGGGGTTCTTAGAAATTAGTAGGGTTCTCGTCTAAATCAAGAGCGAGCGGTAGGACTCGATATGGTTTTAAAATATCAAAACTTGATCTAGAAATGGCGTAACAGAGCTGGATTTTCGAAATTCTCTATTGTTTTGCTCTAGAGAGCATTTTACTTGAAAAATGGAAAACATGGTCAAAACCTAAAATTAGAAAAAAATGAAATCATAAATCAAAAATCGGCTCAACTGCTTTATTGCTATGGCTGTTACCATTAGTTTGAGATCAACCTGGACTCCCTAGCATCTGGCTTGATCGAGAAACCTGCGATATTGTCTGGCCATTTCTTACAATCATTTTCAAACTTAAATAACGTAATTCATCTCCTTAAATTCATCAAAATAAATTTTTTCTTTTGAACAAAGAGTTTTATTTCTATGTGATATGTGTAGTCACAGTCTACTTTATCGTCGAATAAGTAGTCTTAGAATCCAATTTTGGAGAGTAATAACCGCATTCTAGTTCATTTGTTAGAATTTCACAAAAAAGTTGATTTCTTATCAACAGTTGTTAAAGTACATGTAGGAAAGCTTCTAATAGATCAAAATTTAACTATAATATTTTGTCTTTGGAAAACCTTTTTGCTATTTAAGTCTCTGAAGTTGTTTCAAATTATACAGAAACAGTGTCAGATCTGCGAAGCAATAGCAAGATTTTTTAGAAAATCTGAATATTTTGCGGCAGAGAACTTTGCAGTGGGATAGATCTATATGGCAAAACATACCATCATCACAACGGCCTCCGTCCCAAAACAAAGAAAGGCATTTTCTGTCCGTATATTTGATGGAACTGATATGTTTATAACAAACATATCAATTCGGAAAAGTCTTAGCCAAAAACTAGCTCAATAGCAACGATCTTTGAACAAAGTTCAGCTTTATAAAAAGCTTGGCAGACTTATATATGAAAATCACACATAATCTGAATCTGGACAATGTCAGCTACTCACTAGGGTAAATTCGCACCCATAGCCTCCAAGTGAGAATCAAGTGATTTTATGGTTAGCAAAATGAGTGTGCGCTCTTTAGCGGACACTTCGACTCGGTCAAACTTTATCACAATGTGCCTCTACCTATCTTCTATCATTGTAGACAGCGCAAATTTTCCTGTATCGCACGGCAAGGCTTTTCAATATTTTCCATTTTTCTCGTCTCAGACGCACTTTTAAGAAAAGGCAAGGTCATATTGGAAATCAGCGCACAAAAATGAATTGAATGGATGTCTCGTTTCGAGGAAAAACGAAAATCATTTTATGGACTTTTTTATTTATTTATTTTATGGACGCACTCCTGCGTGTAGAAATCCTGCGTTTGAACACAGCTCTCAGAAGCGCGTGGAAATGTGGATATATAAAATCTTTTACTTAGCCAAAAAACGCAAATGGATTAATTCCATTTTCATTCAATGTTAAAGGCACTTTCAAAAGCTATACTATGAAAGAGCTGTAAACATATTCGTCTTTGCTGCGTTCAAAGATTAGCGGCTGATTTTAAAACCGATCAGTGGCAGAAAGGCGGAAAGGTACTTGAAGGACTTTTCCGCCACTTTGCATGAACGTTATGTTTTTGAAGACACTCGATAACCCAGAAGATTTTCTTTTTTAACCCATTGCCCGCTGACGACATCATTGAATAGAACAAATTGGGCTACTGATATATCAGTGGACAGCGTGCAATGTGTTAAGCAAACCGTATTGTAAAGAGTTTAGGAAAATTTTCCGAACAAAATCACAAAAAAGAATTCCTGTGGGAAAATAATACTGATTTCAAAATTTTTCTTAAACCTTTGACAATACATCTCCTCAAAAGTAGAAAATCTTCTGGGTTATCGAGTGTGCTGAATACGACGAAGCACTTTTCCGCCACTATGTATGAACTTTATTTTTCTGTTGGTGATTTGCCGTACAGACACATTAATTCATAGTCTTATTGGCGTCTTACGCTGACATTTCATACGAAACTTTGATTAAAAAGTGAAAACAAAGACACATGGCAGGTAGAATGTATGAATTACAGTATATTGATTCTGATTTAGGAATGAGACGAAACGAATACGCGTAGTTGATAAAGGCTAACAATAAAGCTGGAACTAGTGCAGCACAAAGACAACAACACGGAGAATACCACAGATATGCGCCTAATCTGAAATCAAAAACTTTGTCTTAAAAACATCACACAAAGAGTTCAACATTGACCCTCTTCTACGTAGTTTTCGCTTTTTAATTTTCATTGCTTCTTCTTTCTCACCTCCTCTAACAGACGAGTCAACCATGCTCTTTGCATAGAAAAGAAAAGTACATATTCTCTTTCCCTGCTCAATAATTTTCATTACTGGTAGTCTAACATCACAAATTAAAGAGATTTTAAAGAGAAAACGGAATATAAAGTAAAACGTACTTTCTGGCTTGGTTGTTTTCTTGTAATGGCCATAACTTGTGATTTATTCCTTTCAAACTCACGTATTGTGTTATGTCTTAACGCTGACTCGGACACGTGAGAATCATTGTCAAAAACGGCCCCTTCTTTTGACTGTTGCTGTTCTGGCTCTGATGACGAGATTAGAATCTAATTCAAAGCGAAAAATGGAATGTATTTTGCTGCAATTTCTTGAATCGTAAAAGCGGGTTACCTGTATACTCGATAGCTGTCTTCGTACTCTTGTTACTTTTGATTGTTTAAAACTTGAACTATAAAGAGCACGTGCCAGTAGGCTGCTGCTTGGCATATGGATTTTTGGCTGACGAAATAAGAGACATGAAAGTTATTCGATGTTTCGCATTCACTTTCAGTTTTATTGCTTGGATTTTTTCTCAAACAACTTCGAAGGGGAATATTTCGTCAACAAAGAATCGCGCGGATCTGAGGGACGTCGAATTTTGTAAAAAGTTTTCTCTATTTTTCACACTTGTTTACACAAGTTCCTGAGCCTTCTAGTATATCTGTAGAACCACACGATATCTGGAGATCTTTTACTCAAGTTCTGGCCATCAGCCAGTCTTTACTTCATCGAATCTTGTAAATCAAGAGTTACTCTTCAAAAAAAAGAAATTTATTACGTTCTGATCGGGAGGAGGATCAGAAGAAGCATCACAAGTTGAATCAGAATAGCGAAAAAGAGTAATTTTCAACGTAATGTTAGAAATTGTTTTAGCCTCCACTATTTTCCGTCTGACCAATCTAGATATAGAAATTCTTTTTCGTATTTCCCAAATTACATATTAAGATAGTTTTAACCATAAATACCTGTTTGGTTGATCTAACCCTAGTAACTCTAACTGATTTTGATCTCCATATTTCGTTACTTCGTTCTGCTGGTATTGTACCTTGTGTGTCTCCCAAATGTCGTCGAACTTTTGTCAGAAGTGGTTTTTCGTTTAATATTGAGTTTAAAATGTCATTTATTGCTATTGGCTCCGATGCTGAGTATCTTTCGACGAAAAGATCGTTTAGTTGTGTTGATTCCAATAAACTCTAAATTTTCCAAAAGAAAAATTCTGCTTTTGGCACAGTACCTCCAGCTACTCAATTCTGGATGTAATCCTTTGTCTTTGTAGGAAGGGGGACTATCAATATCTTTGTTGCAGTTTGCATCTGCAGTTTGAACACCATTTTTAGTCTAACATCACAAATTAAAGAGATTTTAAAGAGAAAACGGAATATAAAGTAAAGCGTACTTTCTGGCTTGATTGTTTTCTTGAAATGGTCATAACTTGTGATTTATTCCTTTCAAACTCACGTATTGTGTTATGTCTCAGCGCTGACTCGGATTCTTCAGCATCATTGTTAAAAACGACCCCTTCTTTTGACTGTTGTTGTTCTGGTTTTAAAATCTAATTCAAAGTGAAAAATGAAATGTATTTTGCTGAAATGACCAATCCAGATATAGAAATTCTTTTTCGTATTTCCCAAATTACATATTAAGATAGTTTTAACCATAAATACCTGTTTGGTTGATTTGATCCTAGTAACTGTGACTGATTTTTGTCTCCATATCTCGTTACTTCGTTCTGCTGGTATGGTACCTTCTGTATCTCCCAAATCAATCTAAGGACGTGAACATCGGGCAACTTCGCGGAAAACAAGCTGATTTATTTATCTGTTACCTACCAATTTTATCGATAGCGGTCTCTTAACTGTGATCACTGTTGGTGTACGTTCAGCCATGATGTGGCAGCCTCCACAGAAAATATTGTTTATAGTAGTGTTCTTTTAAATACTACCGATTCTTATCTAATTTTTGTTTCTGAAATTATAAAATGATCATTTTTCATTCGTATGTGTTCGAACCAAAACGAAAAGTATGCACGTAGTGTTAGGTCGATTTGAGCTTCTCTCTTACAACAAAACAATAATTAAATTAAAACCATAAAAAGGTTTTTTGTATTTGAAATCAAAGCTTTTTAATTAAAACATACAAAAAATGAACATAAGATTCATTTTTTTCCTTGCTAAGGTTTGTTTCAATGTCATTTCCCAAGTACGAAAAAAAATCATGAAGCGGGCGCTGCATCTAGATTAGAGGTACATTTATCTAGCTTCAGCTAGATGCAGTGAAATACAAGAAAATTTGATATAGCTTCAGCTAGATTGAATCTAGCTTCAACTGGGTACAACTAGTGGCTATCGATTAATCGGACAATTCATTGCGCCATTAATTGGCCAGTTCAGCGGCCGTTTCAGCTAGTACACGATTTCAATCAGCATGTAGCTAGACAAATGTACCTTTTAATCTAGTTAATCTAGCTGTAAGTGGGCGCTGCAGCTATTTTTGTAGCTAGATTTTCTCCCTTACTCAGTTTTGCTTGGGTTGTTCGGGTAAGAAAATTAACGATATTTCATATACCCAGAACATCGAAAACAGTGTAATTGACTGTGTATTAAATGCCAGTTAATAGCTAATGAAATACTCATCAAATGGCCATTTTTACATCTTGTAAATGGAAACGTTTTAATGCCTTAAAATGGCATGTTTTAATAAGCTGAAAACTGTCCGAAAACAGGCAGCTAATATCATCACATATTGACCGTTTTAACACCATTCATACAGTTACGTCTACTAGTCATTAACCTGAGAAACATATTATGCGCAATATAAGTTCGCTGCGAACTCAAATTTAGTAGTCTTATGATCAGTTCGCAGCGAATTATGAATTATGTATAAGGTATATATATTCTTCTAGGTTTGGAGGCGTCTAGGTATCTTAGATATTTAGATATCTCAGGCTTTTTAAGTTTTTAGGTATTTAGGTTTTTAGACATGACTCAGATAGCTAAGATATATACATGTGTCACGATGTAGATTGTATATGTATCCCTGGAAAGCTGTTCGTGGGAAAAAATGACAGAAAAATGATTTTACACATTATCATCAAAATTAAAAGTATTTAAATTAAAAAGAGAGTTAATTGATTACAGTAATAACATAAAATTACTAGTAGAGTAGTAATTTTATTTACCATTAGAGTCTATGGTCATAACCTATTGAAAGGACGGGGCCACTATTTGATGGAATTGGCCCCTGCTTGAATTCCATCGACACATACATGGTTAGATGCAGAATGAACCGAAGAACATTTCTAGCCGCTCGGCAGACCTTAGAAATGCTCTCAGAAAAAATTGGGTCCAATTAACTGTAATTACTTCTGATACGTATTATCGATCATACTTTCGAGTGTCTCTCTCGGCTTCATACCTTCGTAGAACTATTATATGTCATTCGCAAGCTCCGTTTCCGCGCTATACTTCTGTATATCACATATACGGAAATAGTCGCTCTGAGGCCAAGTATGTTTAGAAATACTTCCGTCTATCGAAAATAATCTTCTATGCGCAAAAAGTCTAAGGTAATCTATGACACCCTTTATCATCCAATCACTACGATAGATATACAAATTGATAGACAGTTTCCCGCATTGCAAGTTCATATATATATATATAATACTGAAAAAGTGTCCCAGAACAGCTTGACATTACAAATACTTTCTGCAGAGCCGTGAAAAGCCGGTGACTTATTCCACGGTCAGAATCCTGTGATCAACGTTTCTCAACTTGCCGCTACGATAGATATACCATTCGGTAGACAATTTCTCGTGCTACAATTTCCTGTATATAAAATAGTGACAAGAGCGTCCTAGGGCACCTTGATATTAGAAATACTGTCGTGAAAAGTGGGTGACTTGTGTAAAAGATAATCTATAGTCAGATCGTGTATAGAATCATTTGATTTACGTACATCATAAACAATATAGATAGCAGTGCCACATTTTCCAGCTCTTCCTGTTCTACTAAATGCTTGTTTTTAAACACGTAAATCATTTGGAATATATGTTAATATAACATGTAAACCACCATTTTTTTCAGGAAATTGATTAATATCCAAATCAGTACCACGACCAGTAATATTCGTTGCAATTATAATATCAGCACAATTTAATTGATTTTTTTCAAATTTTCTATATGTTCTATCATATATATAAATTTTATTACCTTTATATTGAAATTCTTTTCTTACTTGTGATGAATTTTTTTCAAATTTAACAATATTTTCACAGACAATAAGTACAGTTCTACGTTGATATATTGAATTTTTAGAATTTAATAATAATTCATAATTTTGAATATTTTCTATTAGATCAGATTTTTATATTTTATAAAGATTTAAAGATTCTTCTAAATTAATTATAATTTCATTTATATCATCTAATTCATTTTTTACTTAATTTATTTCTATTTCACAGGTTTCGTTTTTATGAAAATATTCCCTATCATCATAATGTTCTTTGATTTTGTATTTTTATATTTAAAAGTGTATTTTTCATTTCTTTAGATGTTTTCATACGTTTATCTATACTACTCTTTTTTTCTAGTTTATTATTAAGTTGATTAGTCATCTTTTCTATTTCTAATTTTAATATTTTATAATGTTCTTCTAATTGAATTTTATTTACTCTTTATCATTATTATTCATTTTATTATTTTTTAATTCTATTTTTTCATGTATATATTCAATTATTTTTTCATATCATTTGTTTTCACTACTACATACAATTTCCTCGATTTTTTCACATTTAAAACGATATTTTTTAAAACATGGTAATTTAAAACGATCAACATCAGATTCCAATTTTAATAATTCTCTTTCTTCTTTACCGCTGTTCGTATCAGTTATACCTCTTAAATTATTATAATGTTTAAAATAATTCATATTTGATATAAATACGGCTTTTAAATTTTCATCATTTATAGAACTATAATGTTTTAATTGTAAAAATATATGTAAACATTACTCCAATGTGATGTTAATTGTTCAATACCTGTATCTTTATCCATAATTATTATTTCATCATTTTTATTTGATTCTTTATCACCCATTATATAATTATCATTATTTTCAATAGATTTTGCACAATAGACATTTTTAATCGGAAGTGGCTATGTGCACTCGGGTGTACATAGCTATCCGACTATGTGCACCCAGACAATCATAATAAACGAATTACCAAAAATTAAGTTATATTATAGTCTTAAATATACTTGATTATTAACATATAATGCCTTAACTTAATTGTTGTAATTTTACTTTATTAATTCTTTATTACATTCCAAAAAAAGTAGAAATCAAGTATTACAATTATATAAATATGGGAAAAAACTTAATTTAAATAAAGATCAACCAATTTACAAACATTTCTAGTACTTCCTCTCTTGGGCTTCGAAGGAAATGGTTGTA